TATAAAAAATAAATTTATGTGTCCGTTGCGAGTTTTTTTCCTGAACGATTTTCATCTGCGCGAACTTGTACGTGTAGGTCGACAAGTGCGTGCCGATGAGCAAAAAAGAACGTAATTTTTTTTAAAGACAAAAAACAGTTTATGACTCGCGACAAGGCGTCCGTTAAACCTGCATGTGCTTGTACGTGGGGGGTTGACAAGAGCGTGCCGCACAAAAGAGAACATAAGTTTTTGAAGATAAAAGACATAATTTACGACTCGCGGCCTGCGCGTACTTGTTCGCGTAAGAACCTTCGCAAAAATTCTACGAGAGTTTTCGATAAATGGATATTCAATGTAAGTAGTTAAGCTAGGGGGGTTCTCGATCAATATTCCCATAAGTGACGTCACGCGTTGGGAGGGGAAAGGAGAAAGGAAAAAGGAGGAGAAAGGGGCACCGCGCAAAAAGGGAGGGGGATTATTATTGATTGAGTATCGATTATTAATGATTCGATTATCAATTATCGATTATTATTGATTATTATTGATTTGATTATTATTGATCAAAAGAAATTATTATTGATCGTTCTGACCCACGAGGCAAGAGGGTTAGCGGGGGCACCGCGCGAAGGGGATCATTGAAAGCATATTCGTAATATTGAGAGCAGGATCGGAGGACTTGGGCGTTGCGGATAAGATAACGTAGAGGTGTGGGTGGCGTCGGCGGAGCGTTGTTATCAGCTCTACCGGAACTAGCCAATTAGCGACAAGCCGTAAAAATGGAGCATGTATTATTCGACGTGTTTTATTTATTTCAGGTAAGTGAGCATTATTGATGACGTTATCGGTCGTAACGTGTTCGAACTTGTTCGTACGTGTTCAAGGTTGTTCGGAGCGGGCGCGAACGTGTTCGAGCGTGTTCAAAATCGTTCGGATGATGACGTCATTGCTAAAATAATATTAACTCTTAATTAGATATTTAAATTGCGCAGTAAAATAAATGATTCCGAGAAAAACCGTAATTTCGCGGAAGCGGTTTGTAACTGCGCAGGAAAATATTGTAATTAATTCCAAGAAAAACCAAAATTTCCCGAAATTGCTTCTTTTCTTATCGCCAAAGCAATGAGTCACTTCCGGTTTGATGAGTCATTTCTTGCAATAACATTTGCATAAAAAACCATTACGTACCGGATGTGGTTTTTTTAACGCACTTCCGGTGCGCGCGTAATTTAGTTTTTTTAAATAAACGCCCGCAAAAAACCGGTATGTCCTGGATGTGTTTATTTCTCGAGGACTATCGGTTAAGAAAGTTTTTAAAATTAAACAATGTTTTAGTGAAATAAAACCATGCATATGTGGTTAGGAATGTGAAATAAAACATACCATGTTAGTGAAGAAAATTACGTAGCAAGTTTTTTTATTATAATCTGTAAAAATACTGTTACATAATGAGAGTAAAACAATAATATTTATTAACGAGCAACACCGTAACATACAGCTAACAGTTCGCAATTGACAATATCGTTGACATCGAAGTCACTGCTCTATGCAACAGCATTCGCGAAGCTTGCGGGATCTGATATTTTAAACTGGATCGCGAAATACCGCGACAATCTTTCTCGCACGCGAACAACAACGTCGTTCAAGTAGGCGACGATGCACGCAACGCAACGTTTTAAGTTGAACAATTTGCATCGATTGGTGGGACAATATTATGCGGCTGGTCTTAGTAGTCAGACGCATGAACGACAACTTCGCGTTGTTTATCAATCTGAACAATACCGCCAGATCGTCAACAAGAATCGGCGGCTGCGCGTCGCTCTGCCCCAACAAATACGACGTGATGATTTGTTCGTTGTCCAACAACACCTTCCACATTTCTGACGACAGAAGCACCTCGTTCCCATTGTTGTTGCCTAAAGCCATATCAACGGTTAGTGGTGCATCTATGGATAATGAAATATCGATGTCAAGTTCGAAATACTTGTATCCCGTCTTGGTTAAGATGTACTTGCGGCTCAGTACCCGCGTACGCTGTGCGAGTGCGTTGGGTGTAATCGGTGTCGACTGAACGCCATCGCATTGTCTGTGAAGAAAACAACTAAAAACATGATATTATTGCGAATAAAAATTAAAAAAAGAAGCAACTAAAAAATAATACTTTCCCTTGATGGAACTTCTTTCTCTTCGCACCGTTGTAGTGAGGCGCGTGCTGAAGATCGACGGAAGATTGCTGTTGCTTTATTGGAACCATCAAGCGAAACATCGTCGAGCTGATTTGTTGCAAAGAAAAGTAGAAAAAAGAGCGACAACTCGTAGCACACAGATCGCAGCGAGACTGATTGTATGGTTGTCATGTAGCGGTTTATATATTTCTAACATAAATGAAAAAATTTCCTCCACTTTCGACACACACACACACATACACACACACACACACACACTATATATCTACCTTAAAGAAAGAGCATGTTCGTACTTTTCGAGTTAAGACACTAGGGACTTTAAGTTGTTTAAGATGTTTATATCTGGACAATGAATGTTAATTAATCTCATATTGAAAGGGCCCGCAGAGTGTATGAAATGGATGAATTCGCTGAACGCGAGATATCTTTCGGACTACAGAAAGTACACATTGCCATCTGAATTATGGAAGACCAGCGAAATACTTGGAACTCCTGGAAACTAAGAAGAGAGGGCGCAATATTTGTTACAAAACAAATAACAACAATGTATGTAGTATTTGCAAATAAAAAAAAGGCTGTTACACGCATGACAATATATATTTAGTACAAGGAAAACCGCAACGCGCTCCAACGGCTGCAGCGGAAGCGTCAACGACGCTGGAAGTCGCGAGAAGTTTTATATAGAGTTGCATACGGAAGTTGCGGCTGATCTCGCAAATGCAAGACGCATGCTAAGAATAACGCATAGTCTTAATCAGAATGCTACGAATACTGCGGACTGACTCCGGAGACGCTTTACTGTTCTCAGTGTTTCTAAGAAAAGTAGTTCTGATTAGAACGTCCAGCAAGATGTTTAAGCATTCACAAAAATCCGTTAAACCACATATTGTTAATAAATTTAATTTTTGCGCGGGAGGTGACGTGCTGGGGATATACATCCGCTGCAACAGCATATAAAAACAAAGAGATGCAGAACGCGTATGCAGAAGGTTTTCTCCGTTAGTGAGTCTTAGTGATATTGTCTAAGCACCAGCAATATAAATCCCATTGAAGATTGTGTGGAGGCTGCGTATAGTAGGTGCTGCTGAAGCACTTGCTCAAAAAGCGAGACTGCTCGCAAATAGTAGTCGAAAAGTGCAGAGCATTGCCCGAATATCCGCGGAACAACAAAGCGGATACTTTTTCACAATCACCTGTAATTCTACCGAAGAGGCGATATTGTTACAGCAATTGTAAGTAAACTACAGAATTACATACATTGAATAAATTAAAGAAATAGAATGGATAAAGTAAATTACATAAATTAAATAAATTAAATAAATTAAATAAAGTAAATAAAGTATAAATAAATTTAATAAATTAAATAAAACAATAACTACAATTATATAAATTAATATTTACATAAATACATAAAGTTTATTTATATAATATATGTGTGTGAGCTGTTATGTTCTTTATAGATTTAACATACACTACCAAATATATATGTGTGGTGAAGATGTTGTAGCAATGACTTATAGCTCTGAGGCCATTGTTCAGGATGAAACGTACAACAACGGATCCAAGATAAAGACCTGGTTGTACAGACATGCTAAGTTAATTATTATGAATATCTGAGAGAATATCAATGTTGTAGATATATAAGGAAAAAAATCTATGTATGTATATACTACATGTATGGTATATAAAAAGATGTAATAATAATAATGAAAAATACTGCTCAGTAGAGTGTACATGTTTGTTTATCTCTCCCTCTACATCTGAATAAAAAAAATAAATATTACAATGCATTTTGTAAAATACGTCTAAAAATAATTCTGATATAAACGTATTGAAATATAACAAGGAACAAAAACACATTGGATTCATATTAGTATTTATTCTTTTGCGAACAATATACATACAAAAAGGAAAAAGTTTAAGTGTATTATAGAATACGTCTAAAAAATATTTTAGGTCATAAGATGTACATAAGTTCATAGGCATGGACGTCACAGACATCGTTCAACGTATCGTTTTGTGCTGACCACCACGCGTACAGCTTGCAAACGTTCTCCATAGCGCACTTTCTTGTGTGGTTGCCGCAGCTGAAGACTCGCGAATTGTCGAGATTTTGCAGACTTTTGATGTCCTCGTAGTCGACGTCGATGGTCTCGATGATGATGTTGCAATCGTTGAGTATGTCATCGACAATCTTTGTCAACCACTGCTTCTTCTCAGCTCCTTTTACATACACTAGTGTAGATCCATCGTTGGGCGCGCTCGACAGAGCGTTTCGAAGCAGCGGCTTCAAGCATTGATAATCCACCATTCCATCGGTCCAGTGCAGGCTGTGATGGTTGACCGTGAGCCAACACGCTCGCGTCTGCTCGGCTTTTGTTAGCAGGTTCCACGACATAGGTTCTTGAAACACATGATGAATCAGCTCGCGTCCATTTCGAAGTGTTGCCGCTTCTTTAGTTATAAAGATGTTGTCTCCAATCACAAAACCTTGAAGATCCACGAATATTGGTATGTCCATTACGAAACGTGACGACGTCGTCGTCATAGTTCTCGACGTTGACAAAGCGTGTGACATCGCTGACGGTTCAAACAAGATTGATGACTGCTCTAAACAATCCGTTGCACGACGCTGGTCAGCGGATTATACTCAACGATACGATTGTGTATGATCAGACAGTACACGGTTGTATCGGGGGATACATTTTTTTTGCAGTTGAATTTGATGCGAACGTCTACAGTGGCGCTCTTAACTGTTTTGTTTTGGCGCAAATAGTCGATGACTACGAGCGGTCCGCAGTAGATGAACTTGTCCAAAGTTAGAAGCGCCTTGTCCTAGTCGCGTTTGTAGGGTCTTATAAATTTGACGTACATATTGTACAAAACGGCGTATCGTTCCTTACTAAAATCCAGATTCAAGTCATCGTAAGGATAGAATTCCGAATTCAGAAACAACTTTACATTGGACAAGTTGCAATGATCAAACCGCAAGCAATCTCGGCTGACAACGTTCTTTCGACCGGTCTGCAACGCAAAAATCATGTAACGCGGCTTTTTCAACTGCGTAGCCGCTTTTACAGCCCACGAATGAGACGTCGTGCTCTGTAACAGCGGGTACTCGTACAGATTCCACGAGCGAAATCCCATGGATAAATATCGACCGCTCTCCAGAGTGCGCAACAGCTTCAATTTGTTCACATCATTTAACACAACGTGTGGCATTTGCCACTGCACCTTGTGCAATTCCACCGTTGATCCGCTGTTAGCCGAAGCAAAGATGCTGTTGTTGTCGTTACGCGATCGTATCAGAATAAGTTCGTGTCTCGCGTTGATTACCACGCGTTTGTAGTCCTCGCAGAATCCCAGCAATGTGCGGAGAGGTACGCAAAAATTGAATTCACCAACACCTTTATTAGTGGACAAGTTCCAACCGGCATGTCACAGAACGTTTCCTATTTCAGTGGTCAGAGACACATAGTTCTTTAACGTGCTTGTTATACTGGGGTTGCGATTTTGATCGATTTCTACACCATTAAGCTCGTATCTGATCTCATCGAACATAAACGCCACGCAATTGTTCGTCAACGCGGCGGCGGCGGCCGCTTCCTTCTCCGGCGGTGGTTTGTAGACTGAACTTTTCCTCGACATATAAGTAACTGTCGTACGGTAGAGTGTAAACATCCTGTTGTTGAATGGGTATACGTATCTCGTCGCTGTGACCAAACGATGTACTGGCGTACGGATTGTACGTGTGAGTTTTCAATCTTGACGATACAATCGTCGAAGACTGATTCACTACCGATGCTGAGTACGTCGTTCATCGTTGTTGTTGTTGTTGTCACCGTTGTCTACTGCGTAACCCAACAAACGCAAAAACGTCGCGTTTCGCGCGGTCAACGTTGAATGATCGCGCGACAAAGTCGCGAAAACGGAAGAACAATCTCGTTGTTTTTTGTTCGCTCGACGCGGTCACGACGAGCATAGTTTTCTTCCTCCCTCGCTGCGCAGTGTCGACACCGTTTACTCGCGTATCTTCCGTACGTGCAAGCGCACCGTTATCGTTTTGCCGCGAAAAGTGATCAGTCGACCGTTCTGATCCATTATGTGGACCGTGATGTTTGAAACGATTCTCGCAATGACCGGTAGGTAAATAATTTGACGCTGCATCTCCGACAGTTTATGTCCCGGCGGCACATTCGGAGCAAATTTGTGTATCGTGTGCACGGGTTGCTCGTTACTGTATGCTCTCGCGATGATGTTGCATTCCACGCGAGTCACATTCACGTTCATGATGTTCACCGGTTTGTCGGACGCGTACCACCGATTAGGTTGCAGAATGCGCGACGATGAGAAACCGAGCAGCGAGCCGATGTTGTTGGGTTTGGAAAAGTGGACTCGATAAGCGCACTTAATTTCGCTTTGCATGGTGTTGTCGTTGGCGCGAAGTATCAACGCGCTCTTGTCACACACATCGTTATCATCATCATCGAACATATCGTAGACACCATTGTTGTTAACGCTCGTCGTCGTTGTCTCGCCTTCGACCGGTTCTCGCTGTCGACGTCTGCGAAGCACAGCGGTGTTTAAAAACCGAGCGAGGACGCGCAACTCGTACGAACCATCGGGAATCGTTATCGTTTCATCGTTATCGTTGCAGTAGAACTTGTTGTTCGTCGAGTCGACATTCGGTATCGTGTTGTAAGACTCGAAGTTTGTAAGACCGAGTTCGCTCAGATCGATAGGTGGATAGTCACCGCAAGAACGCTGCTTCTACGGATTAATGTGAGCGTAATTGACATTGTTGTTGTTGCGCTCGAGAGCGATTGTCTACCACTTGAGATTCCTCAGAAATCGCAGACACAACTGACCGCAAACGCTCTGATAATACGTTTGATATAGATGACGATTGTATGCGATCGTCACGTTGCTCCCTAGATAGCGCTCGAGTTCTTGTGGGGGACGCAAGTTGTCAAAGTACATCGCGTTGCGTCCTCTCTTGGCGTAGGCGACCCAATACGTGCCCGGTCCGATAGCGTCGTCGAGATTAATGATACCGCTTTCGTTCACGCGTACGCGCGCGGGTAAAGCGTTGCGCATAAATACACCCCTGAAGAAGGGTATGTGAAGTCGTCTGGCAAGCGTGTACGTTCGTGGTGACACTGGATGGCAAAGCGACATCTATCACTTGCGTCAGCGAGGTTTTTTTTTACCGCAAAGACCTCCTTCAAATGCGTTACGCTTGTACAGTCGGCGTCAATGAATCGTTTTGTGGACGCGGAGTAGGAGACGTGGGAGCTAGGGGTAAGAGAGACGGTATTCCCTAGCAGTAAATACTGTAATTGGTCAATTTATCAAAATCTGCTACAGTTAGTGCGGCGCCCGTTGGCAGTACTTACTCCTAGGGAATACCGTCTCTCTTACCTCTAGCTCCCGGGGCTACGAAACGATTCATTGACGCCGACTGTACGGTGCAAGATACAATCCGCGACCTTCCATTACGCGATTGTGCCGTTGCAGTTCCTCCAATTGACGCGCAGCGGCCTTTCGATTGCCAACAGCTGTCGCTACACCGGCCGCACTGCCGATCAAGGATCCAATGGCTCCCAGCACAGGCAATAGAGGCAACAAGCCTCCGCGTTTTGCAACCGGCAGAATTCTTTTTCTCTTTTTCGCATGTGTTTTCTTTTTACCTATCCTTCGTCTCTTAGATCCTGTACCAAGCTTTGTCTTCGCCTTCATGGCCGCCTAAACAGCTGTTGCGGCAATTTTCTCTCCCAGAGTAGAGTTGACGGTTGTTATGCGTTCGCGCGCTTTTTTTAGCAAGCAAACTATCGGCGTCGTGACGCGCGGCGAGTTCGAAATTGCGCGAGTACGCGATGTCGTGCTCGCGACACGTGGCGTCCAACAGATTTACTTTGCGATCGTCCCGCGCAAACCGTTTGGCCGGGTCCGCAAAATTGATAGCCTATGTGCAATTCGAAAGGTGAAGCGTTTATAGCGCTGTTCAGACCTGCGCCGCTCGCGAAACGCATCCGACGCGGTTGCGAGAAACAGGCGCGTTTGAATAATCGTTAGTTTGCGCGCGATTTGCTCGTGCTACGCTTGTTGCAGCGACTGATTGTCGATCGACGATTCAACGGCCGTTTAAAACGATTTTGGGATTGCGGCGACGCGAGCGCGTGTTTTAAACAACGACATGCGTTTCGTTAAACAACCGTTTGCAATACGTGTGTCGAACTTCGAAAAACAAACCCGACGATCGAACGAGGAGGAGAAAAACGCGCAAAGCGGACGGCACGGTCCTCTCTTCCCGAACACCATACGCGCGATCGTTTGCGGACCGTCCAACTGCGGCAAGACGAACGTTTTGATACGACTGTTGGAGAGTCCGCACGGTGTGCGATTCGAGAACGTNTACGTGTATTCGAAGTCTCTGCAGCAACCAAAATATCGCTATCTAGAGCACTTGTTAGGATCAATGGATGAAATAGGTTACTTCACGTTTGCGAACAACTGCGACGTTGTGCCGACGAACGAGGCTTTGCCCAATTCCGTGTACATGTTGTAACAGAGCCAATTTTCTATTGGCTTCGCCCGGCCTTCCGCCTGCCGGACAGCTCGGTCGGCGCCAAGGTTTGGGGGAGGGGAAGGCGAGAAATTGCGACACTTGGTTTTTATGCTGTAATATATGTTCGGTTTATTCTAGTAAATATTTACAAGGAGTTTTAATCCGGTCTAATCGGTCTATTCGACTGGCATTATCTAATTTACGGCGGGGTATTGGTCGATAATTATGAATCTTTTATGCGCGGCTTTTATTGACGCAATCGGTAGATTTCGGCGCGGCGGGAACCGTGTCGGCGCGGTGATTACTTAATTCTAATTCTAATTCTACGGGGAGGAGTTATATACACGGGCCGTATACAGTGTGAAGTGTTGAGTCGTGAGAACGACTGTTTTAATGAAGTGGCGGTTACAACGGCCGATTGTGCGCCAGAGCGCCGGAAATCGAGGCAGTACCTCGACGCAGTCGGGATAACGGCCGAGTCAACACCTCGGAATGCCGAAAGTCGAGTCAACACCTCGACGGGAACGGTCGGTATGGCGGCCGAGTCAACACCTCGGAGTGCCGGAAGTCGAGTCAACACCTCGACAGGAACGGTCGGAAGTCGGTATCTCGAGTCAACACCTCGAGACCGGAACGATATCTCCGAGTTAACTCTTCGGAGAGCGGTAGCGGAATCAGAGTCTCGAGTCAGCACCTCGAGCTCGGTTTCTAGGAGTTAGCTTTTGAGTCAACACCTCGAGCGCCGAAAAAGGAATAGGTCCTGACTGCTGAAATCGGCCGGCTTTTATACCCCGGAGCGGCCTATGATCCGTCCGGGGTCGGCGTGTGGAACGCGGTTGTTTGCGCGCCGCGGCACGCACCTGCGGGCTGACGTGTGCGTGTCCGTGCGGTGCCGCTATAGATACGTCGCAGGTATTATAGCGCGGCGGGTTGACGCACACGCGTGTGCTGTTTTTGCGGTCGGCTATATAAGCGGGTCGCAGGAACTATAGCGGGAGTAACGCAATATAATATAATATAAAGAATATATTTACGGTCATACGAGCCGATCGCAGGATGTTGTGCGGAAAACTGCGTATATATATATATATATTTGTTTGCGTGTAAATTTTTACGCGCGAGTTTTTTTTAATTGAATATCAATTCTTAAATTCATATTGGATGCTGGATTTGCATCACATATATGAAAGATCCCATCTACCCTCCTAACTAATTTTGAAAATATTGCGAAAAAATACTCCTCAACCAGGAGTCGAACCTGGAATCTCCGGCTTTCCGGGCCGTCGCCTTCCCTGTTAGGTTAGGTTAGGTTAGGTTACCGAGGCACTTGGAGCTTATCTCGCAATACTCTATACATCTATCGAAGAATAAACCGATAGTCCTAAACGCTTATTTAGACCAGCGTAAATTTTAACAATTAAAACTTAGTGAAGCTCGATACGTTACTCAACTACGAAATACTTTTACGGTCATACGAGCCGATTGCAGGATGTTGTGCGAAAAACTGAGTATATATACAGGGTGTCCCACAACTCACGACCTTAAATTAAATGACGTATTCCTGAGATTATTTTGAGACGAAAGTTCTATTACCATATTGTCGAGGCTACAATACTTTTTGAATTATAAGCGTTTAAAAGTGACCTATCTGGTGGTCTGTTTTTCGCGCGCTCAAGTACGGCGCATCGTACAAGACAGTGTTCTTGTTTCGATATACTTGATATTTTGATAATTATGCAAATTTTCTCAAAAAACGTTTTTTATTGAATTATAGTTACATAAACATAATATTAATACAGTGCGTATGTAAATGTAAACAGTTTCATCAAATTCTTGTAGAATTTTAATCACGTGTTTGACAAGCTGTCAAAGTTATAGTATAAAACTGGCGTATAATATCAAGTATATCAAAACAAGAACACTGTCTTGTACGATGCGCCGTACCTGAGCGCGCGAAAAACAGACCACCAGATAGGTCACTTTTAAACGCTTATAATTCAAAAAGTATTGTAGCCTCGACAATATGGTATTAGAACTTTTGTCTCAAAATGATCTCAGGAAAACGTCATTTAATTTAAGA